TAAATCTGCTGTACCCGTCTTCGTAAATCCGCGAGTTAAACCCGTATATCTTTGGCATCGATCGCGAGTCCCCCTACCTGCTGCTAATGCTAGACTAACATGGAAATACAAAAGAAATGCCATAAATGCCATCGATAAAAAAAGTGTTATTTCTTTTGTATTTCCATACTTTTGGGAATGGTCCATTCACCAAGTTCCATACTTCGGTTCATTATATTGGTCAAACACAAAGCATTCAATCAAGGTTGCAAGGTTAAGTATGGATTTTAAAAATGTTTTGGTTTGACAAATAAATCGATGTGTGGACTGAAAAGTGGTGAATAAGTGCTTGCACAAATTTTCTTTCTTATTCTTTTTGCCTTATGAAAATAAACAAGTGGTGCTAATAGAATAATTTGGGGTTGTAGTTACATGTAAAGAAGCCATACTGAAAATAACGCGATAATATTTGACAACCCTGTTTTGAGTAGAGCTAGGGATTTTACTTCGCCCGTGAAAGTCACTCTAATGGAGTAAAATAGTGACCATCGTCTATAGTTAGAAACCACGAAAAATGTAGAATTTTCTGGTCAATTAGATTCTAGAATTATACAAATATTAAAGATAACGAAAATCTAATATTTGCCGAGCAATGACGTATGTGTTGGCCGCCATGATGAAGCAAAATTGATCACTGTGAGAAAACGAAAAATACTCTGTACTAAATGCCACTTTGATCACGTGAAAGCTGAGGCTCAGAAACGCTCGAGGGAACGTTTGTAAAACATTGCTTTTTCCCACTTTTTTAAAGAAAAAGATCCCATGACTTTAAAGACAAACTTGTATTTTTAAAATTTTGAATAGTTTATTTTTTCGTCGAATCTCATTATACATAAGTCAGGACAAAAAATACAAAATTTTCGCACCAAAAGACAAATATATATATATATCTTAAACGATTGAAAAGGTCGATGAAGACGAAACTAGTTTCCGTAAAGAATCTTGATATTTAATGCGTATAAGATTTACATTTGAAAGGTTTCGGACCTCGTATCATGAAATTATTTAACTTACTAGATATTTTGGAATCCAACCAAAGAAAATATCAGTAGACATGATATCAGAATAAATAAATACCTCTTAAATCGTACATTTTGTCCTTTTCATCATGTAATGTTTAAGCGCTTTTCCGTATTATTTAGTCTTCAAACTACAAAACTGTGTAGCTTGGCAATTGCTTTTAAGAAATTTCCATCCAACTCAGTTTTATAGGGAACTTCTTTCGTGAGAAAAAGACTGCTATTTCTTTCACTCTTACTATTATTTTTGGATATTTAGTGTTGTTGTTGTAGTTTTTTCTTCCTCTATAACTATCTCTTCCCTCTTATCAATTGCTACCAAGATCAGTAAAAAAAATCAATAAAAGAGCTAGCATTCATTTTTAGGAGGGGGAGGGGGTAGGCCGGAGGAATCCCTATAAACAGTAATGTAAAATCTTTAGACTTCCCTTTCTTCTGCTGGCCATTCCCTTGAAATTTGTTGAATTCTTGTCCCTTCTTTTTATGCAGTATGAAATATTTGATGTCCCCCCTTTCTGACTGAGTAGATTGAAATGCCTACTCTAACAGACAGAAGAAGACAGGATGCCGACGCGCACAAGAATTGAAAGCGCACCAAAGCAGCCTAATAACGATTTTATTTAGATTTCGTCATCTATTACATTAGTCGCCTTGAGGTGACGTCATTTATCAAAAATCAATTTATTTATACGAATATTTTACGTTTCCTTGCAAAGTAACTAAGAGAGCTGAATGAAAGGAACCCGGAAAAAATCGATCCTGGAAGCGAAGCACAGACTGTCGTTCAATAACATTAAAAATATCTGTTTATGTGTAGTGGGCATCTGAGATGAAACGAAAAAATACCATGTGCACTGAGTACAACCGTGCGAGCAAGGGTACTCGGCTAGATTAGCCTAGCTTTATCCAGAAATACCAAAAAATATAAAAAATACTCGTAATGGCTACATAGCGGTTACAAGTTGATGTTGGAACTGCTTGAGTCATGTTGAATATATAACAAGTGAATAAGAAGTTTGGGTTGTAACTTGTACTGACATTTTGGAAGTTAGTTCTTAGTCGCAATAAAAAAAGCTAAAAAATACTTGTATATTATGAACTACTCCAATATACAGCTCCCTCAACAATAAAAACGGCAAGAGCTTTATGTATATTTATTTTGCTCTCAAGTCGCAAAGATAAAGGAAATACTTGTGAAGAGGGAAATGATATTATTGGATAAACTTTAAAATATTCGAAGAACTCTTGGTAATCAATTGAATAAAGCAAGTGTGAAAATCTTGCACTTATTATGACGGATTCTCGTAGCCTATTGTTACGATATAGCCGTTCTAAACCCGCTCGTGTGAAGTTGATCGTTTATAGATTTCATTAGAATAATTACCATATGGTAATAGTACTTGAAATAATAAACTAGTATCAAAAGCCAGGTAAAAAAACAATCTTCTTTTGTGTAGCGTTGTTCGCTTTTGTTTGTTACCCGTGAATAAAAATGTTAAGACTCAAATTTAAAATTCTGATCACGACTCGTGATTGGTCGTTGGAATAAGATAGTTATTTTTGATTGGTTATTCTATAATGGGACACATGAGTCGCGAGGGGTATTTAAATATTCGCGGTCGATGAAAGTGAGATTTAATACGACAACTACGCTCTTGAAATTCGTGTCCTGCCGCTATTTGGCGTTCACTATTGCTGTTATCTGCCCTGGATTGTTAAAACAACATCGCCATCATACGCAGAAACTAGCCAAGTTATAAGAGGTAAGTTAGAAAGGTTTAAAGGAGTTAATGGTATGATTTTTCAAGCGATATTTTTGTGTTTTGGTAAATGTAGCGCATTTAGACTCGCCGGTTGTTCCATTAAATAGCCAAACAAAAGTGAAAATCTCCAGCTCTTTACAAATATTATCGAGAAATTTCATCGCTATAAAGATTTCAAGTCTTTATCCAATGCATAGCAATAAAATTTGGGCTTTTCGTCTTGGTTTTTCGATAGAAATAAGTAGAAATCGCGTGACCAACATACGGAACCGAATTCAGATTCATAGAAATTTGCACTGCAGTGACGTTAGAGTACTTGCGTTTGCTTGGAACTGCTTGAAAAAATCTCTAAGTCCATCGACTCTACCTATTCTCTTGCTATTGCTGCTCAACCCTACGGAGTTCTACCTCCTTTCTGGCTAAAAATATTCTTATAATTTGTCATAAGTTTAGTTCTTTGTGGTCTAGCTAATGCATATTCACAGATCACAACTGGTAAACTTATATGTAGCTTTGTCATTACGCTGGCTCCAAGATCTACCATTAAATTACACTTCCAACACCAAAAAGCTAAACCTAGCATTTGCCAACGCTTTGGATACAAAATCCTAAGGTTTAAGCCGCGAAAACGGTGGAAATTTTCGAGTCAGATCTGGCTAATGACCTGAAAATTTAGCAACTAATTGTTATTCTAGATTTCATTCTGTTCAACTTAACAATTCTAATCGAGACTTGTATTTCCTGTTTTGCGACAGCCGAGATCACTATCACAATACGAGCTAGTAGAATATCATAATCTGTGTTATTTCTGATTTAAAGCTACATTTGTATTGAGAGAAGATTGGTTGGATTTAATCTTCTTCGACTATTGCCCTTCATACATTATTCCATCTTGCCACATGTCAAGCAAAGCAGATATAAATTTTTAATTTTATGATTGAAATCGCGTATATATTAGAGCAAAAGTATCGAATAAACCATTAGAAATGTAGAAATGTTTTAAGAAAAAAAAAAAAGAGATAGGAGATTTGCTCCCAAATCGTTACACAATATAATCTATCCATCTAGACACCAAAGCGCAATAAGACGTGAGCCTATTCGAAAAGCATCGAATATTCTAATTCAATGTTGTTTAACATTTCCTCGCTGATTTCCCTTGCTAATAATGTGTCTAATAATGTTTTAAAAGCATTTATTATTCAAAATTTAAACTCCTGGAGCTCCAGTTGATTTTGACGTGAATGCGTGATTGTATTTGTCGAAGTCTCTTTCAAAATAAAGCACTTTCCAATCTCTTATTCGTTTCGGTATCGTCATTACTAGAAATACTAACGTTAAAGTAACTTCGTGTTCATTTATGTTACAATACTATTTTTGTAGTCTTTAGTTAGAATACTAGATGTATATCGGTGTTATAGCTCTGTTGAAGGGAGGGTGTTGTGGTATATCTCTAGTTCTCTAGTCCAGGTACTGGACTGTTTCAAGTACTAAATCAAGTCATGATATGCAAAGAATCCATTTAGCCTGATTACAAACACAATCCAATGTAAATACTAACAGAACACTTCGAGTGCTCTCATATGGCGTTCTCTTGTGCTGCCCACAAAATTGTAAAACTTATTTTGAATTTAGCACCTTTCTTGATTCATTTCTGAGTCATATGGGAAAAATCCAAACACTGAGGTGCAGATTTTAGAGCCATGTTCTCCAATGTCTGATCACGGTACAAATGTCTGCCTTGTATAGCTGTGTCGACAGCAATCTGTTTTTACGAGCCCTCAAGTCTAAAACTAGGTTCCCACATTTCCTGCGGTAAAATAGAGAGGATATATTTTGGATTTTGGGGGCGGAGTGGGTGATGGATATAAGAAAGACTCCAAGGTTTTATTCTTAGGGGTAATGGTGCGAAGAGCGCTATTCAAAAAGGTGTTAGAATAATCAAAGATGGGATCGGTTTCAGCGTGTTTATCTTTGATAAAGCAAAGAGATTTGCCAGATTCTTACTCTTGCCGTCTTTATAAACAATGCTTTTCAAAGACTAATGAACAAAAACTCATGTATAACAATTAAAGTGTGACCTTTGGTGTTCTTGTAGGTCGACGTATCTTCTACTCATTTCCTCGTTGTCAATCATTGGACATTACCCAGCCAAGGTGATTGTGTTTCGTACACTAAARCACCGACCTAAACATGGCTTCAAGAGGAAAGAAAAGAAGAACTTCGTTCTCTGGTGGCACAGAAATCAAGACTTCGTCACGTTATTGTACAAGATCGTTTACTAGAGAGAGGAGAGCTAGTGGAATCGAAAATATCGGCCCTTTCTTTGGTGGCTTACCGCCAGAAATGATCAGGCTGTTAGTGACTTTTTTAGATGCACCAGCGTTATCAAATTTCGGTTCAACTTGCCGACTACTGCGGTCTTACACGGAAGGAATGTGGCCTGAACTGTGCAAATGTCAAGGGCTGCATTTTCCTCTAACAGTTCTGTGTGTTGCAAATCCTATAAATTCTAGCTCCGAATATGACTATGATAAAGCGTTAGAGCTCTGTTCTGGAGAGAAGAAGTGGAAAATAGCTGCGAAGAGGAATTGGTTGTATTCTAGATGGAGATGTGTGGTTTGTTATCGAGGATGTTCTCAACGTGTGGATGCTCATTTTGATGTCGCGTTGTGTGACACTTGTCACCCACTTTTCTACCGCCGGAAGTGTCACGCAAAGGTGAGTGGCCAAGTCCAAAACAACGACTTCATTATATTCTCATATCATAACTTCTTATTACTTTTTATTACTGCAAATATATCGCAGATCATTTATATTATTAAAAATCAATTCCAGAAAGAGAAACTATTAAAAAATATATTGGAACAAACTGAATATTTTCTGCATTTATAAGCTTTTGCTTTTGTCATACAACAGTAGGCCAAATAGTAGGCCAAATATGTTGTCAAGATCACGATGTTRAACCTGTTATTCATTAAGCTCAGTAATCTTATTTTCCAGTGGTAAGTTGTGGTGGTCCATGGAATCGGAATTGTGTTGACAAACTTGCCCTATCTATTAATTTATCTCTACATTCCAAGACATTAAGTCTTATCAGAGAATGACAGCTCAGAAATAATTAGTCCTTTTATTAGGTCAAGTGAACTAGAATCAAACTTTTTGATGCTTTTTCTGGCTACCTATTCTGGTCTTTTAGGGGTTTAGATCACTATCATCTTGGTTTTGAGTAACACATGTTTTGGATTAGTCTAGATTACCCTGACAGTGTAACTTAAGCTTGACATATAAAACAAAATGCTGATTGTAGGATATATATTCTCTTGTCATAAAGGCATAAGGAAAATTTTGCAATCCTGTAATCACATTACCAGATGTTTGTTCTTGGGCTTGAAGAATGAGCAAAAGCACAAAGCCAAAACACTGAACTAGTTAATTAAGATATAACAATTAGACTCTAAATCATGTTATTATAAAGACTTCATTTAACACTTGAAATAAAATTTAATGACCAAATGTCTAATGGTTGAAAGAGTGATGTCTTTAGACTACTTATCTGATGTCACGTCTGTCATGGATAGACCAATTTTACTTAATAATTGGCATGTGAAAACTAGTATTCATAATGCAAGACACTAATTCCCATTGTTTTACCTTCGGTATTAACTATACATGTACAACTTCATTTCACTGGCCAAGTAAAGTCACTCTAAACTATTTAGCAAGCTATATAATGGAGAAGCCATTTTGAGTCTTGCTATTTATAGACTAGACTAAAAGAAAGTCAATATTTATACTTGCATAACAAAAGTTTCATATCCATTACACATTTTCATCCTCGACCTCCTTTGACTTGAAAACTTGTGTTTATCTTGACATTAGTTTTGAAGTGTTGTTCTTGATCTAAAAATGTAATTTCCTAATGTTAAGCCTTATTGCAATATTACTGGTCTTATGGCTTCCACTCTAGCTCCTGGGATTTGTTAAATGTCCTGTGTGATATATGGCATTATACGAAAAAAATGCCCATTTCTATACAGCTGCAATTAGTTCTGGCAATTTTTATTCATGTTAAAATGTTTTAGGGAAAAATTTAGTCCATTCATTATCATTTATTCAGTTTTTTATATTATTTGCAGGAGCAATTTAGTTTAACAGAAAAAGACCTAAGATCATTAGACAACGATTCCTATGAATATATAGTCTCTGATCTCATTAGAATTGCTAGACAAAAGTATGGAAGCAAGACAGCTCTTGAAGAAAGACTGCTGGAGAGACAAAAACAGAGAACAAAGCGAGAAGCTGAAAAACAATGTGCCTTAGTGCACCGAGAAAGAGATGTTGTCAGAGCACTGGAGACATTAAACAGTTCTTATGAAGATATCATGGAGGTTGACGCAAGGTGCATGCCATATGTTAGTACCCCTGGTAGTTATCAGTATTCACCTCAACAGCTGCCAGAGGATGCCGCAAAGTGGTTGATTGCATGGAAGGACAGGCAGGAGAGAAGAAACAAGCTGTTGCTTGCAGAAATTAGTGCTAGAGCATCAAGGTGCAAAGGCTGCAGAGCAAAGTATGATCATAGGTAAGGCAAAAGAGTCCTGAATTAAAGAATTTATTCTGTTCTGACTTTACTAAAGAGTTGCATATTACAATTATTATTATACTACTTTCATGTCTAATATGAGTGTAGTTTGGACACATTGTGCAACTGTCGCATACAATATCACTGGGGTAACAACCTCTTTTGCAAAATAACTATGAACTAAATAATAGCTATTAATTTTTAAATATAATATCTAATTGCTGCCAGCAAAGTCAAATTTCAATGGCTGAGAGCTTCATATTTGCCAGGTTTCATATTGATTGAAGGGATTTGGGAGTCCAGTCTTCACTGGATGGACAAAAAATAACTGCGAAATGGTGATATTCATGGCATCATTTTCACAATTGTCTGGTTTCAACCCATGAGTCCTCCCATGATATGAAACTCTGCAATTGTAAACAAAATTGAAGATGTCTCACAGAATGAAGTTTAAAGTGCAAAACTGTTGCAGGGTTTCAACGGTACCATTTCAACACAGCGTAATATTGCATAGTGTGCAGTTTAGCTCAAGACAGTTTTTTTTCAATTTTATTGGGTAATAGCTATTACTAACATGCAAGCATACATATTTAGAAAAAAATATACTTTCTTCTGGGCATTACAATGTCTAAAGTCTATGAATATAGGCATGCTGGTTGTTGACCATTTCTTTTAGTAATTGCTGTATATATATAGGTTTCTGGTTTATTTATCTTACAACTAGTCTTTCTCTCTATTCTCTATTCTTAGGATAGTACAAGTTTCTAAGTGTACACACGTATCCAACGAAGAAGCATCACAACTCATAAAATCAATTAAAGAGCACTTTAACCATGATATAGCACACTATAGTCGGCATGGACAGCTTTCCTTAGAAACAGGAGTATATGATTTAGAGCACAGATCAGCGCAAGAACTCTTTCTTAGAAATGAGAGAAGAATGAAGTTGAAAGAGGAACTAGAATCTCAGTGGGATGAATGGCCAGAAATTTTAAGAGGTAAGTCATTACAATGCAGAAATAGAGTCCGTGAAATAATGTTATTTATAGTTGCATATTAGACACCGGTAGCTTTGCCCAGAAAAAATTCCAATTTTTTTGATAACATCCAATTTTTTATGGATTTTGTAAAATGCGAGTAAAATACGTTTTAGTAAAATAATTCAAAGTTAAGAGTCAATGTATGCAAACAATAAGCAATTATTGGAAAAGGTTTCAATTAGCAAAATAGAGTGATTTGCTGGTGACAAGCAATCAATAATATTATTTGCCGATGCCATTTTATCCCTCAATGATTTTTTGTGGGTTTGTGTATGTTTTGGCTGTTTATCAAATATGTCAAGTCATTTTCTGGCAGCTCGGGGAATTGAAGCAAGCCATGCATGTTGCAACTGTGCATGAGCAGACTGCAGCAAAATGGCTTTGCACCATCATGCACATGAACAGATCATTAGTAGGCAGTTTTTTGCAGTTATCTTGGCCAATCAAAATGACAGAAAAAGTAATTTGATGATAATAAGTCATGTCTCATTTAGTGCTTAGAGTATGGTAGACTGAACACATAAATGAATCCTTATTTGAAAAGACTTCAGACATTGTTTGCCCAAAATATACACCCACACAAAATTCTCTCTTATATGTCTTAAATGTAAATCTGAAATGCAAGAAAAATAAATAAATGAGAACAAAAATATATATTCTTATCCTTGAGAAAATCCTAATTTTCAGGAGGACTTTTTGTGGTGAATGTATACCAATTTTGAAAGTTGAAGTTTTTTTCTTTAGAAGAAATGTTTTTTTTTTCAATTTTCTTAAATTTTTCTTTTTGGTTACGTAACATCACATGTGGAATTGCAACTCAATAGAATAAAGTTAATGATTAATGGCATTGTTTATCATTATTAAACAAAATTATATGCTTGGATGATAATTTTACAAAAGTACATACATAATATTAATAAAGCAGCCTTGTGAAAGTTTGAAGGTAATGTTGCATCAGGGTATCAATGCCACAAAAGAATATTTCTTCTTGAAATTCAATCTCAATCTTAATGGCCAATTCATGATTTAGCAATTCAATTTACAATTCATTTAATTGTTTTAAGACCTCAAAGCAACAGGTAATTGTAGGATGGCATTATGGTAATGAGTATGTAGTTAAGTGCAGGTATGTCTGGTGTTGTGTGGCATATTGTTGATGATCGATACTCGGAAGCATCACCTGTTTTTTATCAACAGTTTTAAGCAGGTTTTTCTGGTGCTCTTTTCTAGCTTAGGTGGTGGTGATTAATCTTACATTGGTACTTCATATAATTTTGAAATAAAAAAATAAATTCAAATTTATGCAAAAATATTAGCTAGCATAACTGGTAGCTCTTTATTGTCTGGCAAAATCTTTGTCTTACAGTTTTTTTTTTAAGCTAAAAAGATTTAAATTTAAAGCAAAGGGAAATGCTGCTATATCTATAGGTTTGAGATGAATAAATCAACTTCTGAACTTTAAAACTTCATAATCAAATATAGAATAAAATAAAAGTTGGGAAACATTTACAAACAATTCATAGTGAAAACTCTTTTCATAAAATTATGCAAAAACCTTAAAATTTGCACCGTAAAACTTCGAATGACTAAGGTTGCTTTACAAGTCATAGAATTTAATATTATAAGCATATTTATCTTTTGAAATTGCAAATAAACTGTTGCGGTTGTTATTGTACATTTCGCATACCAACCACTACGTCATTGTCATAGTAATTTTTTGTCATTCCAAGCGAGGTCAAGTAAAAAACTGGGTCAATTTGACATTGCAGTGCATTTGGTGCTGTTTTGGAGGACATGTTTCCAAAATGGCAACATTTTCATCCTTTAAAACAGCCCTGTACCAAAATGCACTGCAATGCCAACCCAGTTTTTCCATCAATCTCTGAATGGCTAATAATGTCTACTGGCATGGGATGATGTAATAGATACTTTAAAGTATCACTAGTAAAAACATTGTTTGCATTTACTGCAACATTCTTTAGCCGCAAAAAGAGTTAAAAGAAATCAAACTATGGTGATTGCAGTGTAACTGCAAAAAAAAAATACTCATCATACATCTCTTTTAACTGCAGGAACAAAGGATCCAATGAACTGTACATTTTCTCAAGACTATATCTACAAAGGTGTAGCTGTACTAGATGCTGAAGGGAACAAGTGTAAACTACGGACGGCTAAAGATGTTGCTCGCATCATTCTTGCCCAAGCTCATGGATGGAACAGAAGATGTAACCAACTGAAGGAAGAGTTGACAACAAAGGGATTCACTCCACCATTCACTGCCCTCAAACTGGAGAGTCAGTTACTAATTGATGATTTCATTGACAACATGATCGTCGTAAGTATAACTGAATATATATAATAGCTGCACATGTCTATATAATCTGTAATATAAGCAGATATGAATTTGCAGGGCACATAAAAGTTGAGCAATGAAAGAGAGAAACTTTAATGGTGTTATAAAGTTTATTGCCAATAAGGCAAAATGTAAGAATCAAAGGTGGTATAATATGTGCAAACCTTATTATGTAGTAGTGCATATGTCTTTCACCTTTGGGGAGTCAAGGTTTGATTCCTGGACTGGGGTACCTGACATCGGCATATGAGTAGGGTTTGTTGGGTCTCTTTTTTTTTGAATCGAAGATTTTTTTCTAGGTTCTCTGGTTTTTCTCCTTTTAAAAAATTCAACAAAAACGAAAAAAACCAACATTTTTGAAATTATTTATTTTAACATTTTTCAATGTTGTAATCATCAGGTAAGAGGTGACCATATAGTAGCATGTACAGCATCAGAGGTTGCTGATAGAATAGCTATAATTCAAGGATTAGAGGAGGAACAGAAGTCCTCAGTAGCTGAAAGATGTGCCAGGATCTATGCAGAATGCAACCCCAAACCAGGTAACCTTTGTTGTCAGAATGTTTAATGATCAAACTTTATTTTACAACCTTTTTGCCTTACATGGATGCATCTTGGTAGATAGAGGAATTAGACAAGAACAGCTTCTTGTGATTAAAAAAAGCCACCCCCACCTCTCCCCCTCTCCAGGGTGATATGTGTTGTTAGTAAGCATAGGGCAGATTGACCAACAAAGAAGGGTGCTGATTGGCTGACAGATAAGGGGTCTATTTGTATTATGTGGTGACACCATGCACATCACTCCAAATTTGTTTCCACTCATTGCTAAAGCTGTCATTCATTCATTCATTTGTTCATTCATCTATCCATTCATACTTTTTGACATTCATTCATTTATTCTGCTAATTCTGGCTAGGCACTAGTTAGTGAGTCACAGTTAAGGTGGTGCTGTTAAGTTATTCTGATTCATCTATCTTATTATTTCTAGCTTACATTCTCTTATTTATTATTTTATTTATATATTTACTGATACTGACTGACTAAGAATAAGCCAATTCATGATTCTGACTCCCCTTAGTTACCGTTGCTATGTCCCACGAGCTCAGCAAATTAGCTAGAATATCTCAAGATTTAAAACTCTGAATGCCAAAATCGATTATGAATTGCTTTAATTGTAAACTGTCCTGTAAAAAATTGAGAAAATAGCCCACTTCTGAGTTATGCTTCACTTGTCACATACATAGGTTTTAGTATGAGGCTACATGCTAAATTTAACAATAATATTATTTTCTCTTGTCACGAATCACTGAGCATTGTGCACAAAGCCTCACAGTGAAAACCTCGTGTGGGACAAGCAAAGCATATCTCAGAAGTGGGCTATTTCATAGTAATCCTTGTAGTACTCTTCAAAATAGATACTAATTTCCACTGGGAAAACTGCTGCAACAGTGATTGGTTCGCTATTGTCTGAGTCAGAATCATCCATCAAGAAAGAGATAAGAATTGGCAACATGCAGTAAAGCCAGCGCTATTAATGACTGCAAGGTTTCATAATTAATAATTGTCAACATTTTTCTTGCTGACAGATTACAATGGAATGAAACAGGAGAGAAGATCATCTTTAGTTAAAAATATGAATCTCAAGTCAACAGTAGAAGAATTAGTCAAACAGAACCCCTGTTGGTACGCAGCACAGGAATACATTAATTGGTAAGAACAGTAACTTCTTTCTGGCAAGGGAATCAATGGTGGTGTAGGGGTAGTGCACTCTCCTCTCACATCTTGGTGTGATTCCTTGGGAAATAAACGGTGGTGCACTGTTAGTGCACTCTCCTCTCACATCTTGGTGTGATTCCATGGGAAATCAACGGTGGTGCACTGTTAGTGCACTCTCCTCTCACGTCTTGGTGTGATTCCATGCGAGATCAAGGGTGGTGTACTGGTAGGGCACTCCCCTCTCTGATCCCTAGGGTCTCAGGTTCAATTCTCCTGCATCACATCATTCACATGTGAGTAGAGTTTGTTAGGGCTGGTCTCTACCATGATTCAAAGGTTTTTCTCCAGTTTCTCTTAAGTTAAATTTTCTTCCTCAGTTTTTAAACTATTTCAAACAATTCTGGATTTTGAGCTGCACATAATTTAATAAAAGTAAACATAGGAATCTAGGTCAAAAGTGTATAAACAGAGCTAAAAAAGACTCATGTCATCAGACAACATCCAGCCAGAATTGGAACCTTGTTCAGTCAAATCTTTGCCTTGCTGGTCATTTTGACAAATAAATGTTGAGAAGAAATTAGGTATTGCCGATTTAAAACTAATTTGGCCAGTAATCATGACAGCTAGGCAACTGACTGGCCACTATTTTTAGCCCTGATACATTTCCTTTACGAACGTGTGAGTTATTAGCTGTGCCTTGACTTAGATTAGTCCAAAGGTTGATTTTCTTGTGAACAGAGCCCTATAGATTTGTACAGGATAGATGTGTACAGGATATTTATTAAATGTCTGTTTGCTTTTACTTCTAGTGGAACCACAACTTCATTATTTGGGTACAAGATTAACACCTTGGATGCCGTCGCAGAGCTCATCAACCTGAAATCTGTACTCAAAGCCAACAAACACAAAGTCTTCAATACCCAAAAATAATCATTTTCATTCATTCTTGAATATAAAAATCATATCTTGAATATAAAATCATATCGTGCAATTTTAAATGCAGATACCAAGAAAATATTTTCACTCTTTGAGTTTTCTAAGTATTTGCGGTGATATTAGGTTTATATATTAACAAATTTATTGTTTAATTAGGAGCTGTTTCGTTCCAATGATTAAGGTGAAAACATGCTGCAAAACCATGTTGGTACTTGAAAAACGAAAGTCGGAATTTTTGTTTCGTTTTGTGGCCATCCATTATAATCATTAAGATGCTTTGAGGGTACCCATTTGAGTGGTAATTTGCATAGAAACTAGAAACCAATGCCATAGGTCTTGATATTGTGGAGGTAACGTGAAAAGTATTTTTATTACGAGGATCCTAAAGTAGAGCAACTACAGAACAACTAATGTCACATATCGTGTTTTGCAAATTGTGTACGAAAGACATTTTCTCATTTATTTTGAATATTTGATTATTTACATTATTTCACTGAAGAATGTTTTATGATGATGCTGTTGTTATAATACTACCCTTAATTAATAAACCCTTGATAATAATTCGCCTTATATAGTGGAAATTTTGCTCTTGGCATGTGATCTGTCACCTTGTAATTCCCCAAAATGCATCGTTTTAAAAGTTATACTTTGAAAACCAAGAAATTAAACTTGGTATGTATATTAGACAAAATATAAAACAGATTAAACCAATTTTGTGAAAAAAAATCATAAGAAAAAAAAATCATTTTGATAAAGTTTTGGAATCATTACGATAGATGTTGTAAAAAGTTCAAATGTTTCGTTTAACAAGAGACCCAATCACTTTTTTCCCATTTCAAACCACACGTCATTCCCTTGAGTAAAATTTTTTTTGTTTATGAGTAATTCTTAAGAAGAATTCAAATAAGTATACGTGAATGATATATGTCTGAAGTGGGAAAACAGTGATTAATTTGGTTGATGTCTGTATAGAAAAGTAGAATATTTACTAGGTTCAAAATTATTGTGTGTGTACAGCTAAGAGTAGAACTTGAGTACGAGAGAATGCTCTTAATTTGTACCTTCCTATTATAAACCCCTTTTTAAAAAATGCTGAGTGATGTTTCATCTCTCCAGTTTTGATAATCTTTGGTAAAGGTTTGTGTTAACTTCTTACCCATACATTCCATTGTTGTAAGAAAATTTAAAAGCAAGTTTCTCATGTTTGAGAAAACTATTGAAATAAAGTCAAAATGCAATAACATTTTAAAATCTGTTATTATTGTCATAATTATTATCTGTACAAGGCCGTAGTCACCACTTGGTCAGTGGTCCAGTTTTTAAAAAAAGGTGGTCCAGTTTTTTATATTTACTTGTGTAATACAGTAATGTCGCACCCCCTAAGTAGAGCTGTCGAGATTGGCCAAAACAWAAAATAGTTTAGATTATTTACTTGTTCCTATTGTTTTGTTTATATTGTTTCTCAATCTAATTTGTCATCCTGTTAGAGCTGCAACCTTCTTGCCTGTGTAATAAGTAATTTTTAATGAGGGGGAAAATGGAACTGAAGGTAAAAAATTGTGCGGTTAAAACCGGACCAACTGTACTGGTGACTACAGCCCTGCTGTACTTAATTTAGAAGCCTCTTGCCTGTTTAAGGAACTTCCAGTAGCTGTTAAGAAACTCCTGTGGATCCTCCCAGTGAGGATAGTGGCCAATACCTGGTGCGAGCTCTGTGTTTGTTGCTTTGGGTACTTTGGTTCTGTAGGAGAGTAGAATGGAAATGAAAATGGGATGAGAATAGAAAAATAAATGAAAAACCTCTGTATGTGAGAGGGAAAAGTAGGGCAGAAAACACAAGGTCTTTTATTTATTTTTAACAAGAGTGATATAGGACTCTTATCTTCTTATCTAGCTTAGTTTTTAAGATAGAGAATTTTCATTTGGTTTTTGAAACAAAATCAAATGGGCCTTTTAAACTTAGAGTTCTAAACCCTATACCTCTTAACCAGGTAGATGCACCAAAATGAACCCAGAAATGGAAAGAACACCACTAAGGTATAGGTGTACCTACACTAAAGGAGCACTGATAGTAAGAGGGGGGTAGAGGGCACACCTTCGAGCGCATTAAACATGAGCCCTTGGCTTGGAAGAATTGTGCAACCACTCAGCTCCCTGGTTATTGAAGTAAAATAAATTACCTTTACCTCTTTTACTAACAACCTGGCAAAGTTTCAGCTTACCATGTTGAATGCAGGAGAAATAGTATTCAACATAAATTTGAATTTTTCTAATAGAAAATGCAATGCCAAGGAAAATGTGTTGACAGTCTTACCTAAACCTATCTAACATTGCTGGAGGGTTCACTGGATCAGAAGGTCCATAAATCAAATGAACTGTTAAACAATGAAACAATTTCCTATGAGCTTGCAATATATAGGATTTCAAGTATGGGTGTCTGGGAAGCATGGGAGGTGCACGCCACTGATGTCACATGACTATGGTTGTGGGTTCGACCAATCAGACCAGCCATCACATGTAGGTATAGTTGCTGGTTAGTTCTTTTTTGTGCTTCTTTTCTGTGCTGTGCTTTTCCTATTTTCACTAAACTCAATTCAAGGAGGGGTTACTTGATTGAAGGATTTATGCAAGTAAGAATAGACCTCAAGCATGATGACATTTCATACCTTTCCGGAATCCCTTTCGGTAGCATTTTTGTTTTGCTAACTTTCACTATTGTCTTGGTATTCTCAAAGGAGTTTTGACATTTGAATATGACAAGAGATTTGGAAAAGGATTTTGGTAGTTTAGTTTAGTTTAGCCACTTACTTGGAACAGAAGACTTCTGTAAGGCACCCACCCATCTTTCTTTGTGTTCTTTTCTTTGATTGATGTATTGAAGTAAACTAATGATCAAAAACATTATTAATCATATTAATTCATATATTAGGCCCAACACAAGCTTACCCTATTATAAAAAAGAGCCTAACCAGAAAACGTTGACAGCCCCAGAAGAAACAAGTAAATTGATGAGTTATCCAAAAAGATTAATGTTTCGGGTGTTTCTTGGTGTTGCAAGATGTATAAGTATAGTAATACAGGGTAAGCTCCAAACTCATTGTTCTTGGTATTGTTTCATTGTCTTCATGGCTTGGGTGCCCTACAACACCAAGAAATAGCCAATATTCCTAGTTAGGGACCTGATTATATTGGTTGTTACCAGGAGTAACCCCTAGACATACTAGGTGTATTTTTTCTTACTTTGGTACAACAAGATGGCCATCTTTGTATCTCACTAAGGAATAGAAATCCAACAGCTCATCTGCTGTGGGTTTGGATTGTGGCCCAAAAATTTCTGAAAAACTAAAAATACAAAATAGTAATCAACTGTTGCTGCTGCTATTGTTGCTGCTGCTACTGCTGCTGTTGTTGCTGTTAATTTTGTGGCTGCTATTGTTGCTGCTGCTGTGTGTTGTTGCCGCATCAACTGCCATTGTTGCTGGTTGCTGCTGCTGTTTTTATTGTTGTTGTTGTTGTTGCTGCTATTACTGCCGTTTTTGTTTTTGTTGTTCTGTTATCATTATTGTTGCTGCTGCTGCTGTAGTTGTTGTTGTTGCTGCTGCTGGTTATAGTTGGTGTTTCATTAGGCAGCTTTCACAAGGGAAACATGTTCCTTTTTACTTGTTTTCAAATTTACTAACCTTACTTTAAAGATTGGAAAACTCATCATTCTTGAAAGACCAGGACCAAGCCAACTGATCAACATTAACTAAATATTTAAGGAATATGAATTTTAATAAACAAATGATGGTGACCGATTTCTATGGTGCATATAATATTATGGAGCCAATATCAAGGAGTTATTTCAATTAGCAAACTTGCCTATGTTACCTTTTGAATTAGTCTTGGAAAGTTTGTTTCTGGAAATATTCCTAACGGATCAATGCAGRAAAAAAAGAATGTTATTAATGTTAAAGGCATTTCAAATTGCCATGAAAAATATGCATGATCAAATTATCAATCATACCCAGCTATTGGGAAATTTAATTTTAATCAATGCTAGCGTACATAGTTATGGAAGGTTTTGTTTAGCCAAGTTACAGTAATTTATCCTAACACTGACCTCCATTTGAGAGACACAAACTTTGAATCCTTAGAACATTTTCTTGTTGGCTATTCTTTCTTTCCTCATACCTAAAAAAAAATAACCACAATATTATAAGACTACATGCAAATCTTGACATACATCCAAAAAGCATCAAGCTATAAATATACCTATAGTTTAAAGTGCTACTACGACGAAAATTGCTCAAACTTGGATTCAGCTGAAACTTCCTAAGAATACTCTTTAAAGGTCCAATAATCACTGTATGAAGTGTTTTCTCGATATTCAGGACGAAAGTATGATATTTTTACGATTATTTTTTGGAATCTGTGACGTCATACACTCAACATCGAACATCGCTCCATACATTTCTTTGTAGTTTATGATCAAAATATCAGTAGTAAAGGGAGAAAGAAATACCCAAACACCCCAAAATATWAATTATAGTCACAAGTAATGTGAAATAAGCATATTAGCCACCCTTTGGGCTTCATAGGAATAAAATAAATTAAGGATTTATATACAAAGAAATATATGTAGCAATGTTTGATGTTGAGTGTATGACGTCACGACTCCAAAAAATAATCGTAAAAATATCATACTTTCGTACTGAATATCGAGAAAACACTTCATACAGTGATTATTGGACCTTTAAAGAGTATTTTTAGGAAGTTTCAGCTGAATCCAAGTTTGAGCGATTTTCGTCGTAGTAGCACTTTAATACCAGGGTTTCATCATTGTCATTTTATATTGTGAAACCCCTTTCAAAAGCATCTTATTACCTAGCCTCTATATGCAGAGGTTCTTAGGGTCTGTCACGCGTTGTTTCCCTTCCCAAGACAGACCCTAACAATGTTTGTATACACTAGTTATTACCTGGCTAGCATTTCTTGTGCAACTGTGTCACCAAGATCATGTGCTATGATGTGAACATCTACCACACCAAGTTCCTTTAGCATTAATTCATATATTGTAGCTTGTTCATCAACTGTATAATTCCTGTCCAACTATATAAGACATATGCACATCTGATAATTATTATACATACGTATCAGCTAAGGATTGCTTTGAGATTACTTTACGAGTAAGCCAAATTTCATGCTGCCTTATCAATATTATTGTATAAATTGCATACATTTTCCGAAAGCTAAAAAAAAGTTTTCAAAAATCAATTTAGCAGAAAACTGGAGTATTCCAGATGCAGCACATTTTTCATGTTTTGGTTTTCCACCATCAAATGTAGGGATTTAGTAATTTTTTTGATTGACAGAAGCCAGAAATTGAAAAAGTTTCAAAAGTTATTGAGGTGAAAGAAAACATGGTCTAACAAATTGATTTACTCACAGGTTTGTCACTAAATCCAAGCCCCAGCATGTCTAAAGCTATTACATGACCAAAGTTTGCTTTTAAGGAGTCCCATATCTGGGGAGAGACAAGCCAAAATTAAAACTATGCCCAAATGTTACCAAAATGTTAAAGTGAATTATATGTTGAAAACATGACAAGGCAGGGTAGCCCTAGCGATAGGCCTAAGAAAACAAAACTTTTCTCTGGCACTTAGGTCAAAGAAAAAAATAAGTGTGTTTCCTGTTACGTGACTGACCCTAATTTTCTTGCCGATTTTTGCCGACCCTAATATTTTTTTCATTCCCAAATGCACCACAGGGTTCCCAGTAAGCTCATTTCCACTGTTGTATCAGTAATCCGACCTACCGGCCCCAATARGCCTGAAGCAAGATGACATTTTACCCCCGACTCTATACCATAATAGTTTTTAAAATTCTTTCATATTAAAATTTTTGATTCCTTAGAGAATACAGGAACAATAGTCATAATTAAAGAACAAAAGCAATGTGAAAAGGATTATGATCTAGAGACGGAGGTAAAACGTCATCTCGCTTCAGGCTTATTATTTTTCTTGAATGCAACAGGAAACACACTTTTTTTTTGTTTGGCCTTAGCAGATTGACACCTCCCCCCCCCCATATATGTAAATGGACAATAGACATGCATGCAGAAGCTTTCACCTTAGACCAGTCAAAACTGCTAGTTGGAAAACCATGTATACACACAACAACTTGGTTTTTATCACCAGCACCTAATTCATCTGAGATCAAACCAACAGGGTATATATTAATATTCATGACATCAACTTCCTGACAAAAATCAGTGGATTAAATTTAAATTACACCTTTATAAAACACTGCAAGTCCTTCATAACTAAGATATTTTCCACTACTTCTCCATTCCTTTAGTCTTTCGGATACCTCTGGAGGGGGAAAGTTTAAATATACAGAAATCAAAACCACAAAAACAAAAATAAATACTTGTGATTTGGCCGACATATTTTGAGTGTCTTCGCGCTCTTTTTGCCCAATACGAAAAATTCCCAGGCGTTACTAGTGAGATTCATATACCGCGCAATGCGTTTTGGGATAAATAAATTAGTTTGTTAAAAACAAATTATTCCTAGATATCTTACTTCTGATAGCCATCTCCTAGGGTTTTAAAACAAAAGCAAATCTTATTTTGAGCTTGGTTTTTAAATGCAATAAGGATTTTTTGCTTACTTCGTTGGGCTCCCTGTGGTGCAACCGGAAATTTTTCCTAAACCTTATTTTTGCTTTTAAATTAGACATAGAAAATAATAATAATAATTCTAGCAATAATAAGATATGTTGCCTTGAAGCCATGGTTAAAAGGAAAGCCAAATATATTATTATTTAATATTTTTTATTAGCTTTTAAAAATTGGTTTCCATGGCAACCAAGTGGCCGCGCATTAAACAAGAAGGAGTAACCGCGCGATCTTGAACTAAACTGACAAAAATTAAAAATGTCTTCGACGAGTCGAGCAAAGAAGATCAATGTAAGAAAAACCTCGAAAAAGTCCACGAAAAAATCCTTAAATCTCTTATAAAATGGTTGATATGTCCTCGAGGATCCTTGATCTATGAGCTTTTGATGTTTATTTTGTAGGTTCTTGACAAGAAGATCCCTGAAAACCCGAAATACAAACATGTTAAAGCGACCGTTGACACTGGCAAGTTGTCTTGTTTGGAATATCATTGAAATTATGCTCATTCTTCTACCATATTTTTTTGTTCATAAGCATTTGTAATCCTATATTTTTCAGGTTCTAGTGTTACAAAGTATATGGAAAGGATCGAAGACATGAGAAAAAGTATGATAGCTGCACTAAATTGCATAACATTCTTTAATGCCTCACTTATTATGAATCAGTAATGATGAAAAGGTAAATTATACACCGTGAAAAGATGAAAAAACTTACTGAC